AAAAAAAAAAAAAAAGAAGTACATGCAAGGGGATACCTGGCTGGCTAAGTCAGTATAGGATGTGACTCTTGATCTCACGGTCGTGAGTTTAAGCTCCACATTGGGCATGGGGCCTACTTAAAACAAGAAGTACATGCAAGAAAGAAAATAGAGGGGCGCCTGGGTGGCTTAGTTGGTTAAGCATCCAACTTTCGCTTGGGTCATGATCTCGCGGTTCGTGGGTTCGAGCCCCGCGTCGGGCTCTGTGCTGACTGCCAGCTCAGAGCCTGGAGCCTATTTCAGAGTCTGTCTCCCTCTCTCTCTGACCCTCCCCTGCTCACGCTGTCTCTCTCTCTCTCTCTCTCTCCTAGAAATAAATAAAAAATATTTAAAAATATATATATAAGGGCACCTGGGTGGCTCAGTCGGTTAAGCAGCCAATTTTTGATTTCGGCTCAGGTCATGATCTCGCAGTTCATGAGTTGGAGCTCCACACTGGGGCTGACAGCGCAGAGCCTGCTTGGGATTCTCTCTCCCTCTCTTTGTGCCCCTCCCCAGTTTGCACGTGCACACACTCTCTCTCTCAAATAAATAAATGTTAAAAAAAGAAAAAAGAGGAAGGAAATAGAAGAAAAGACTTTCTTGGCTGAGAAGCACACCAGCGCCTCACTGTGATCACCTGCATCGGAACTCCTGTCAGATTTGCACTGAGCTAGCACAGTCTCTTTGGTTTCTTTCCTAAATTCACTGGCTTTGTTTCATATTTTGCTGATATAAAAAGAATCCCCTAGATCCTGCCTGGTATAAGATTTGTCTACTGAGGGACACCCTCAGCCTTCCCCAACTGACCCTGATAGGACAGAGCCAGACCCAATGGCTTCCCACTGCTCTGAGCTAAGTGGCTCCAGGCGTCCTCTGCTGACATTCCCTAGGAAGGGATCACTGGACCTCCTCCCCACCACTTGAAAGCACACTTCCCTAAGGAAAGCCTTGAACAATTTTTGCCAGCTCCCTGTGTGCTGGGGAGATTGGTCTTCACCTGGGTCTTTGGGAAATCTACACTGTCCTGAAAGCTTGTAGAGGTTGACCCAGTGTCATGTGATGGAGCAGTACCGCCTCTTCCTGGGCACATGGGCAGAAGAGGCTAACGCTAGGGACTCGTAGGCTCTGAAGCCCTCAATGACAGGCGAATTCAGTTGATAGGAATGAGTTTGGAAAGCCAAAAGTCCCGGGAAGCAGGACAGTTGTGTCTTCAGTCTTGGACAAATTATGAGTGTACTGCTTACTGTGTAGCTTGGACAGGTCACTCTACCTCTCTGACCCGCCTCCAGCCACTGCCCAGATAGTGGGAGGATTAAACGGGACAGTGTGCCAGCCAAGTGCAGAGGCTTGGCACGGGAGCCAGTGCGTCTCTTCTTCCATTGGACGCCAGGTCCCTCTCGTGGCATTGTTTCCCTGTCTCCCACCTGGCCTGTTCCAAGGCCGCCCACGGCCCAGTGCCCTGTCTGAGCTGAACACCATCAAGTCAGACACACACCACCAATATGCAAGCTTCTGTGAAGAGGCTTTCAGAGACTCTCCTGGAAGTTTTTGGACCTTGCCCCAGAAATATCTGCCTGCACCAGACCTGGCTGATTTGACACACAATTTTACAGTGTTCATCGGTTTGCAATGTGCGCTCGAAGGCACCGCTAAAGCAAGTGTTCAAGACCAGCTGTCTCCTGGTACCGCTGTGGGAAAGGCCGAGAGTAAAGACACTAACTTGTTTTCTTGGGCCGGCCAGGGGAGGTCTCTGCCATTTTCAGTTCCTCGAGGTGGGTCTTAACCATGGCCGCTCCTTGATAACTCTTGGCAGTAGCCATGGGTGCCCCGCTCATGAAATCACTTGCAACCCGTCCTCTCTTTTTCAGATGAGACAGGTGATGGAGAGAGAGACAGGTGACTGCCTGGGGTCCAAGAACTGAGAAGACCCTGGGGGCCACCCCCCAGCCCTTGCTTGGCCAGCCACTTCATGACACGAACATGACAACCCCAAACCCTGAACAGTTCACAGTACAAATTTATTTCCGCAGGGACTATACAGAATACAAACGGAGACGCCTCTGCTCCTTAACCAACCAGAGCCCAGCCTCAGAAGGTCCTGCCTCAGGGGTCCGAGGCGAGTTCTCAGGAGGCGGGGCAGGGGGCGCGGTCAGAGCTGGGCGTGGCTTCTGGCCACAGAGGGGTGGTGGCGGGGACAGGGGTAGGCGGGGGGGCGGGGGAGGGGGCGTGGCGTGGCCTGCAGCCAGGGGTTCACGGGACCTCTCGTCGCTGAGGGCAGTGGCAGGGGCACGGGGTCCACAGGCCTCCTACACGTAAGCGTTCTTCCCGTATTTGCCAAAGCTGCTGTCGCCTTCTTCGTCTGAGACCACGGGGTGCAGGCGGGCGGCGAGGCTGGGGGACCGCACCGCGGAGGCCTCGTAGGGGAGCCTGGGTCGGAGGGGCCTGGGTCAATGGAGGGGCGACCCCGCTCCCGCCCCTCCCCCTCGCTTCCCTGCGCCGCCCTTACCTGGGGGCCGGGTCTGCGTTGGGGCTGCGGCAGCCCGTGGAGGCGAGGCAGACACCGCCCAGAATGGCGAGCAGGGAGGCGCTCCAGCCCAGGTAGAGGGCGGGGCCCAGCTCGTACCTGGGGACAGGGACGGTGAAGGCCGAGTCCCACCCACTGGCCCCCAGGGCGGGGCTCCTACACTTACTTGGTCCCTGGATACAAGGGGTCAAAGAATTCCTGGGTGATGTTGAAGGCATACCAGGAGATGGCCACCATCCCGCAGAAACCTGGGGAGGGAGAATGGGGCGGCGCTCGCGCCCGAGGCCCAGCGGAGGAAGGGAGCTGGGGCGGGGGCGGTGGGGGGATATGCGGGGGCAGCCCGGAGATCCGGACGCGGGGAGTGGGGCGTCAAGTCCAAGAGCAAGTTACACTCCCTCCCTTTCTTTTGCCCCCTCTAGCTCATGACCTTTCTCCTAGGGTCCCAACCGAAGCCCCCCTTTCTTGCCTAGTTTCCTACACCCTGCCCTTCCTGCCTAGCAGGATGTGATCTTAATCACATCGTTGCCTCACTTGGAATCTGGCCCATCCAAATCCTACCCATCCTGGAAAGTCCAGCTGCCCCGGCAATCCTCCTGCAGAGCCTGGCCTGACAGCCCTTTCCTTCGGCCTCCCCAATCCCCCAGAGCCTGTGACCTGCCTTTGTCCCTCAGTGCAGTGAAGGCCTGAGGTCAGTGAGACCCCTGGACTACAGGACCAGCCTTGCCGCTGTCTGGGGGCTCCTCCAGTAAGTCACCTGAGCTTCGAGCCTGTTCCCACATCTGGAGAACAGGGTAAGACCCCCCCTCTACCTCACAGGCCTGTGTGAGGTGGTATGTGCAGATATTTTACAGGCTGGAAAGGTGTTGCTGTGCACAGGGTGCTTGCACGCCGCGCACCCTGGCCAGGGTGTAATCTCTGGGGGACAGATGCTCACTCACCTTTGGGGTCCCTCACGCACCTTGCTCGTGCCTGCCTCCTAGTGGGGGCTTGAAACATTGCTGACGGATTGATGTGGGGAATGAGGCTGGGTGAGCCGGGAGAGAGGGAAGAGCTGAGCAGGAAGGGCAGGTGTCGAATCAATGGGGAAGGAGTGGGGAGCTGGAGGTGACCGGGAACCGGCTCCGCTGGCGCCACTCTCAACCCCCCACGACAATGCAGGGCACACCCACCACCTTCCCCCCATTACCAGCCAGTATGTGTAGGGCCCCCGCGGTGGCTGCCAGCTTGGCCTTCCTGGAGAGCTCCAGGCTCCCGATGTTGATGCAGCGCAGCCCCACCATGCCTAGGAAGAGGCCCAGGAAGCCCAGGAAGATGGCGGTGATCATGAGCGCCCGGCAGGCCTGGAGGTACCCTGGGGAGGTGGGGCGCAGCCATGGGTCCCTAAACTGGCTCCTTCTCCCTCCATGACTGAGCTAGTCCCTGCTCAGGTCTCAGTCCATAAGGGCCTTCAAGTCCTGTCCTTCCTTCCCCTTTGGGCCCTATTCAGCTGAAGCAGTGACACCTCTTTCTTCCCAGGAGCTCACCTCAGTCACCCCCCACCCCCCACCCCACACCAGGCTTCAGCGCACTTCCTTACAGGCTGTCTCCTTGGCACTGACACTTTGGTCAGACAGTGCTTTGGTCTGGGGGCTTGTCCTGTGCCCTGGGGGATATGTTCGGCAGTGCCCTTGGCCGCTACCTGTTAGGTGTCCCCCAAGAGGGACAATCAAAATGTGTCGACATTGTCAAATGACCCCTGGGGGACAAAATCGTCTCCGGTTGAGAACTGCTGCTCTGTCTGAAGGACAAAAGTTGCAGCTGAAACTCAGCCCCTGCCCCACACTGCTTTTCTAGGTCCCACAGGGCGCAGCCCTCAGAGGCCTTGAATGGAGCTTTCTCCTGCAGCAGCCTGTAGGGGGCAGCAGTTGCCTGTGGGTTACTGGGTGAGGGCTCATTCTGATCTGGAGAGTGGGATATCTCCGCGCAGGACCAATCCAAGCCCATCTAGCTCATGTACATTTGGTGCCTCAGGTTCCCCTTTCTCAAAGCTGAAGGAAACGGCCAGCTTCCTTCCTGCCCCCCCTTCCCCCTTCTCCTTGATACTTGCCAACCACCCCAAGGACCTTGCTCCCCTTTTCTGGGTGGGGCAGTGCCACTGGTGCTGAAGATGCTGGGTCCCTGCCAGGAGGATGTGAAGCGGCCCGGAGTTGGTGGGTAGAGAGGAGGGACAAAGTTCTCTGGGAGCACTTTCTCACTTCCAGACACTCCCTCTGGGCTTCCCGCCCTTCCGCCTACCCCTTATCCTCTCTGCACCCATATCTATCTGGGGCTGACCAGCCCTGGGTCCCCAGGCGGCTGTGGTAGACAAAGGAGAGATTACTGATGGGCCATGAGGGAGTGTGGGCTGGGCGGCTATAGGGGATTAAATGATAGTCAGGACCCCCTTGGGACCAGAGTGGCCTTGTAAGTACCCGCCAGCCTGGGTTCCAGCGCCCCTACCACCTGTGGGGACTGTGGGCAGTTTAACGGTTGTGCTTGTAGTTTTCCAGCTTCGGTGAAATGAGGAAATGAGGTTACTAGCGCCCGGCAGAGCCAGGCCATCGTAGACGGCACTGCGGTGGAATGCGGGAGGGACCTAGCACTATGTCTGTGCCCAGATGACCCCGGTGCTGGGCCAGGCACTTGCCCCTCCGTCAGTGGTTCCAAGTGGGGCCCTTCTCGGACTGACAGGCTCACAGCAAAGGCCCCTCCTCAAACGGCGCTGTGGTTGAGGGATGGGTGAGGTGGGAGGGCCAGTGCTCCTAAGCTGGCTGCCTCGTGTCCCTTCTGGCCACCCAGCATTCTGGGTGCCTGGCCCAGATGGTCCCGGGCTTTTATTGGGAGCTTTGGGTGGCAGTGCCCCACACATGGCAGATCATGGAGGGAAGGGTGAAGGCACGATGCCCCTCCTGCTGTATCAGGAAATTCTGGGAACAGTAGGGGCACAAGACCCCCCCAGACCCCCTAGCCTCTCAGAGCACCTGTGGCATTCCCGGGGACCCTGTGCCACACCCAGTGTTGGCTTTAGTTCCATCCACTGCCCAGCAGTGGGGACCCGAAAGAGCACGATAGCACCAAGGAGGGTGCGGGAGCGGAAATGGGCCCTGGTCCTCCCCTCCTGGTCTCTGGCACAGGGCCTATGGAAGAGACTCCCTCAAGGGATGCTGGGAGCCGCTCATTCAGGGAACGGGAAGCAGGGAGACACTATACCACCAGGGTGAACCCTTCTGGACCAAAGACCTGTAGGTTCCAGCCCGCTGAGAACTTCAAAAACTCCCGAGAACGCCGAACACACACACATGCACACACACCCCTAGCTGCTTCCACTAGACACTCAGAGTTTTGAGGAGGCTCGCTTTAAAAGGGCACTTTAGAATTCGCCATGGCAGTGGTGCCAACGCCTTTTAAGTGTCTCAACCCCAAGAACCCAAGATGGGGCCTCCTCTTCACCCCCACAAACACCAGCACTCTCACGGCAAAGCTAAGGTTGGTTGTGTGCACACAGGCTAACTATCCCGCTAACATAACAGGCTTTAGCTCAACACTCACAACCATCCCATGGGCCTGTGCTAAGTCCCCTGGGTTTACAGGCGGGGTAAAAGAAGCTCATTTCATCACCTGCCTGGGGCATAGAGCTGGTCGACTGGGCCCGGAAGTCTGGCCCTGGTCACTGCACTTGTAACCACTAGGAGTGTCATCTTAGGGCAGGGGGACACGTGGGATGAGGTCTCCACGGCACTCCAGATTGGGGCTGCCCCCTGTGCTCCCAGCTCCCCGTGCCTGACCAGGCCTCCCTTATCAGCACAGTGCCCAAGGCCCGATCATGGGCAGCAGTCACCCTCCCCGGGGGTCTCTCCCGCCTCCCACCTCCCTCTGCGCCCTGGAGCTCTCCCCACCCCATACCGGAGAGGGCCAGCAAGGACGGGAATTCCCGGCAGCTGTAGACTCCCAGGGAGTCGGTGGCACAGCTAAACCAGAGGTTCTCGAAGATGGTGTTGGTGGTGATGACGCTCCCGTGCACGGTGGACACTCGCCAGTAGCTGTTTGGCAGGGTCACCCCCAGCATCAGCAGCCCCAGAGCCGCCATGAAGAAGCCGAAGATCTCCACGGCCACCGACATGGTGGGATGCAGGGCCCCGAGGGGCGCCTGGGGCCCCAGAGAAGGGGAGGGGCTGAGCCCCAAGGGAACTTGAGGGGCTTTGGCTAAGGAGGGCTGTTAAGGCTGGCTGGGGAGAAACGGGGAGAGCGTGTGGGGGCCAGCTGCAACCTGGGGCTCAGGTCAGCCCCCTGGTTTCTGTCCCCTGCCCTCTCTCTAGGTTCCTGCTTCCCCGAAGGTCCAGGTAGAGCAATGAGCCCAGAGCGCCGGGCAGCTGTTGACGAGGAGATGGAGGGAATCAACGGAACAGGCCAAAAGTCCACCCCCTCCCCCAGCCTCTGGGCTGCTCTGGGCTCCCCGCCCCATAAGGGTGGCGGAGAGGACTAATGGGAGTGACCAATGACGGATGCACGGATTCGGCTGAGGGGGGCCCCCATGGGAGGCAGTGGGAGCCAAGGGGAAGCGGGGAAGCAGCTCTGACTCAGCTCTCATCGGGGGGCCAGGGAATGGAAGGACAAGGAAAGAGAAGGTGACTGAGAGGCAGAGTGGCCACACACAGCCCTTCCATGGGGCAGGATCCGGGGAGCGGAGCCACCCTCCTGGATGTTGGTGAGAACAATTTAAGAAACTCCAAAGACCTAGGGTTTGGGCCATCGAGTTGCCAAGATGAAGGTTGAGGAAGGGAACAGGGCGGCTCTGGAGCCCACCCAACCTGGATTCAAACCAGACCCACCATTTGCCAGAGCAATGCGGGCAGGGATCTGAGTCCCCTGGGCTTGTTCCTGCCCCTGTGAACTAGAACTAGCTTCCTCACCTCTGTGACCCCAGATCAAAAGCTCCCCACGAGTGTGAACTGCTCCACGCTTGGCGACCACCCTGGCTCTGGGTATCGCAGGCCTGGGGTGAGGCCACCAGTGGGTCGCTGCTCTCCCAACTTCAACTTCTTGAACTCGAATGTCCCCCCCTTGTTGGGTTGATCTTTGACTCTCGGCAACAAGCTTGATCTTGTTGCCAAGGGCCACCAAGGGGGATAAATCACAGGCCCAGAACGTGATCCTGTGGCTAATCTAAGCAGCCAGTTATCAGAACTGTCACCAGCTCTATTAATTATGACTGGTTAGAAACTGCTGGGCCCCAACCCCAAGCCAAGGCTGAGCACCTGTCCCGGTGCAGACAGTCTCAAGGCCATGGCCAGGGCAGCTCTGGTTCTCCTTGGGCAAGTGCAGCAGGGGCTTGGTCTCCAGGAGGGGGTGCTACCCCAGGCAGTCACAGGGGACATCAAGGACCTCAAGGGTTTCCCCCTATCATCCCCCTCCCCAGGTCAGGCTCCTCTGTACTCCCCTCAGGTGCCTCCTCCCCAATCCCCCCCACCCCGAGCCAGGCTGGCTTGGCTGTGGAACGAGAGGTATGCGGTGAAGCAAGACAGGCCCACGCTGAGCCTGGCACCAGGCGGGTGTGGGGCAAAGCAGGCTGGGTGGGGACTGGGCCCCGACCTTCTGTCTCGGAGCCTACAACAACGGGGATGTCCTGGGTTTGCAAGCTTTCTCAAGAACCAGCCCTGCCCCTGGGTGGCGGCTCCTCCCCTGGAGAGGACAGGGGAGGAGTGGGTCACAGGAAGACAAAGGGAGGGAAGGGCGGAGGTTTGGGAGGAAACCAAGTGGGGGGCCTCCCTGGTGTGGAAAACTCCACGTGCTAAGAGGCAGCTGTGTGGGTCAGAGGGGACAGGAGACATAAATCCTGGCTGGTCCCCTCAGCTCTTCCCTTCCTGCCTCCCGTCACTGCTTTCTCCCAGGATTCTAGCGCCATGCAAAGGCCACATCCCATGTCCCCTGTCCCCGTGCTGCCTACCACTGCTTTGGGGGAGGGGGAGGAAGGAAGAGGTGGGGTCTGGGCAGCTTGGCGGACAAAGGCGAACCCCACACCAGCCTGGGGGGGTGGTGGTAAGAGTAGGAAGGCGAGCAGGAAAGGATCACTGGTGACCCCCACCTTTGGGCCCAGTGGAGCCCACCCCTTCCTCAACACAGACACAGCAGTTCCCAAGCCAAAGCCCGGTTTTATTTACATTCGTCCTGGAGCACGTGGTTTGGGGCTCTCAGACGTGTCTCTGGAGTAGAGGAGGCTGAAAGCAGAGGACAGTGATGGGGTACAGGAGAAGGGACTGAAAGGATGGATGGGCTCTCCCCCCCGCTTCGAGTGTCCTCCACAGGCTCCCACGCATCCCTGGGCAGAGGCGGAGGTGCGGTCTCCTTTAGGATTTGGACTTGGATACAGCAAGTCCGATGAGTCCAGCCAGTCCCGCCACGCCCAGGGCCATCCCTCCAACAATGGCCATGCCCACTAGGCCATCTGGGGAAGGGAAAAGGGAGACTGTCAGGGGCCCAGCCCCCACAGAGACCCTGCCCGATGCTCCCCAATAGATGTGCCTCTTCCCCTGGAGTCAGGGGGTGAGGGCCTCTAAGGTGTTGAAGAAAGAAGGCCTCTGAGGGACTAAGGTGGGGGGAAAGGGGGTCCTTTGACTGGAGAACAGAGAGGGGGCCCTGGTGGCTCAGTCAGTTGAACATCCAACTTCAGCTCAGGTTGTGGTCTTGCAGTTTGTGGGCTTGAGCCCCACATCGGGTGCTGGGCTGACAGCTCAGAGCCTGGAGCCTGCTTCACATTCTGTCTCCCTCTCTCTCTCTGCCCCTCCCCTGTTCACACTGTCTGTGTCTCTCAAAAATAAATAAACATAAAAGTGTCTTCTGAAGGGCAAATTAAAATAAATAAACAAACAAACAAATTAATAAAAAAAAAAAAAAAAAAAGAAAGGAGGACCAGAGAGCCCAGGCCTGGGGGAAGGAAGAAGGGCCTGGTGAAGAGCAGAGAGGCACATGGGCCCAGGGAGACAGGAGAGCAGGGGTGGGCGGAGCCAGAGGGAGGAGGGCAGGGGGAAGGCTTCACCTTTCTTCATGGCCTTGTCAATGAGCTGTTCCAGTTCCTTGGCCTGGTTGTTCTGGGGCTCTGTCTGCAGCAGCCCCCGCACATACTTTAGTGCCTTCTCATACTCCTGTGTGGGGAAAACAGATACCAAGCCCCCACCCCCAGTGTTTTTGCACTCCTCCCGACGTCAGAGGGGCCTTCGCTCGCCCCGCGGGCTCCTCCCTCTCCCTCCACCTCCTCCCTTACTCCAGCCCCACCCGATGGAGTAGAGTCCACGAACAGCCCCAACTGTGTGGGGGTGATAAGCTGGGGGAGATAACAACCCTGGGCTTGGGGCTGCACCCCAATCCTGAGGTCATCTTGCTCCCCACACCCTCGGCACCTGGATCTTCTGTCTCTCACCTTCCCTCGGTGTCCTGACCTGCTATCACCTTGTGCCTCTGTACCCAACACCACCCCCTGCCCACTGCCCTCCTGGGCCTTCCTGAAGGCCAGGGCACTAGCCTGGAGGAGAAATGAGAGGGAGAGGTGGGAGGAAGGGACTGGCTGCTTACCTTGAGCCGGTAGTTCCCCACGGCCAGGTAGAAGACATAATCCCGCTGCTCCTCTTTGCTCCCTTTGGGCAGCAGCTCTGGGGAGGGCGGAGGGAAGAGGGTCAAAATCACTTCTCTCCTCTCCTAGTGCTTGTGTCCCAGAGGCCCCCTCTACTCTCCAAATCCCTGGATGACTCTGGGTCAAAGTCACAGTCCCGAGCTTCCGGTTCGGCCCTGGCCATTCTTGGCTTCCCAGTGAGGGCTCTGGGGCGGCTTGAACCCAGGCTGCCAAATACCCCGGTGATCAACAAACACCATGGTTTCAATACTACAGTCAGCGCTGGCTCATCTAAGTGAACAGAAAGGAAATCGAGGCCCCGGAGAAGCTGAAGGTACCTGCTGTGTGTTCTCACTGCAGCAGTCTGCTGCCCAGATGGGTGTCAGAATAAATCTTCACTCCCTTCCACTTTAAAATAGCATTCTCTGAATGACCCCCGCCTGACTCTGCCTAATCCAGTGACTTCCCAGAGGCTTCTGTATAATGTGTGGCTACGGAGCTTTGTGGGTACTTATAAATCTTCCCCAGGGTCCACACTGTCTCCTCAGCTAGAACTGGCGATGCTCAGAGACCACATCTTCTGTGGGGATGCCCTGCTGTAGAGGAAACCTAAAGAATCTGAATTAGCACCAGAGGCAAATGCAGGGCGAAGTTACTTGCATTCAAGAAGATTCTTATTTTTACAGATTTATGATAGCCATCCTTTGCTAGCATGCTGTGTGCTTACACATGGATACTTGACCAAGAGAAAGGGGGTCAGTCCAGGGTACAGAGAAATCTAAAGGTCAAGTATGGCCTCCGACAAACAGTGACCTATGGAAAACCAACAGGAGACAGGATCCCAGTCGAAAAAGCACCACCTGCTCGCCGGGGCCCGGGCCTGTCTTCTGCGCCTTCTGCCATGCCACCCTCATGAAAGGTTTTCAGCTGCTGCTGAATAAGCAACATGGTGGGGGCAAAGAGCAAGGGCCTGGGACACACAGGACAGGAGCTTCTAGTCCTAATTCAGCCATTAATTCATTAGCTGTGCGTCCTGAGACAAGTCACTCTCCTTTTGGTCAGACTGCCAGGTCCCCAAGTCCTGGAGGGACTGACATGCCATGATTCTGTCTGGCTAAACAGTGATGCGGCTAAAAGCACACTGGATGATGCCAGGCCAGCGTGCAGCCTCTGTTGCAGTGTGTTTAGTGGAAAATAACTGTGAGGTGACAGCCACAGGGTCCCATACGGACAAAAGATCCCAGCACTTGAGATGGAGAGAGCAAAGAAGGCCATGGCGGTCGGAAAGGCCGGACCCCAAAGGCCGCTGGGAAGGGGCGCGTCGGGTAGCCTGGCACCTCACCCTCCAGCAGTGCGATGCCTTTGCGGATGTCATCATTGTACTTGCTTCGCACCAGGCACCAGGCGTACTCAAACTGCGTGCTCTTGGACACGGAGCCTCCTGCCTTCTCAGATTGAAATTTCTTTTCAAACTTCTGCCATAGGAGAGGAGAGGAGTTATTTAGAAAAGAAGGGGCGAACCGTTCTCTACCAGGACCCGGGTGTCCATTTCTCAGCTACACTACATCTTCCCGAGTCTCTGCCACCTTCCCCCCGCGAGTCTTGGCATCTAGCATCCCAGGTTCCGCCATCTCCATCCCTGGGATGCCGGTATCCCGCTTCTTAGCAGAGGGTGTCTCCGCCGACACTGCCCCTGTACGCTTCCCTCCCCCTAGTGGTACTGCCCCTGTACGCTTCCCTCCCCCCTAGTGGTACCGAGCGGAGATGCCACCTGGTGGCGGCTCCAGGCACCGCTCGCAAAGCAGCTGACCCCGAGTGGCTGGCTTAACAGTAAACATGCTGTCAGAACTGCTCAACAACAGCCCACGCAGTCCCTCGCTGGTGGCTGCTTCTCCCAAGCAGCCCCACCCTGCTGGGTCTGAGCCTTTTCTTATCTGCTAAATGGGAATAACAGTAGTGCCCACCTCCTAGAGTTACAAAGATTGAGATATCACTGGCAAGCACTCAGCACCGTGCCGGTTTCGGTGAGTAATATATGAAACTTGATGGTAGTTGCCGTAGTACCCTGCCACTGAAGGCACACTCAAACACAGGTGTCCGCACCCTGCCCTCCTAACTCCTGCACGCACCCAGAACTTGTCAGTCTTTCCACACCAGACGCCCGGCCCCGACTCTGGGGCGTGGTGGTGCCAGAAACTACAAGTCCCATTGGCCTCCGGGACAAAGTAGAGCCTCCGGGCAGGAGCCGGACGCTGCAGAGGGTGCCGGGAGCCGTAGTTCGGCCTCCTTAGGCAAAACTGATGCTGGGTAGAGGGTCTGGCCCCAGTCGGACTTTCCTCTGGACCCGCCCGTCCGAATACTCCCTCTCCCTCCCTCGGGGCCAGGCCTCACCAGCAGGTCGTCCACAGACACCAGGTCGTTCAGTACGGCCTCCATGGCCGTCGCCCCTGCAATTCTCACACCCAGGTCGCTACTGTGCCACCGTCTCCATGGCCCACTCGTAGGGCCGGAGAGCCACTTCCGTCGTCCAGCGGAAGCGGGCCCCCTCCCCATAGCAGAGCCAATCACCTCACGTAGCTGACGCCGAGCCCGCCCTCCTCCCGCCGCCGTCCCGCCCTATCCTTCCTGCGCCCTCTGCGTACGCTTCGGGGCACTAATGCGCAAGCTCCGGTAGACACTCATCGCCACCTTCCTCCACCGAGGCTGCCGTAGTAAAGTTTGGAACTATGTCTTCAAAAAAAATTTTTTTTAACATTTATTTATTTTTGAGACAGAGAGAGACAGCCCGATGGGGGGTCTCGAACCCAAGG